GTACATCTCTTCCACTTTAATGCGAGTCAACCGTAAAAACGGTGTTTTCGTTGTGTTTAAGTAAAAACACTTGAGTTTAGAGGCAATCGAGTCATTCAAAAGTCTTTCTCCTCGACATAATTCATATACATTTTCAGACAAACGAAAAATAGGTTTATCGTTGAGACCAGAAAAAGTGGTATTCGTGTCGTTAAACACTTTGATCTCTGATATCAAGTCAGTTGTCTCGATGTCTGGCTTTATAGCGACCGACAGTCTCTTATATTTCTGGGCTTCACTTGGTTTTCCACTTTTCAGTTCACAAAATGACAGAAATTTAAAAATATCTGCAATTATCTCATCGCTGGTCATGTCATCCAATCTATCGATCGCTTCTGTCAACCATTGCTTTGCATTCAAGTACTCCTTGTTATCAAAGGTTTGTTTTCCTATCAAATAGCAGTCGAAAGTATTTAAAGCATATTTGGATTGATTTCCATTTGAAGTCACTTCAGCACCGGAACTGGTCTTAGATCTAATGAATCCATTCGCTAATGACTTGATATCCAGAGATCAAAGTGTTTAACGACACGAATACCACTTTTTCTGGTCTCAACGATAAACCTATTTTTCGTTTGTCTGAAAATGTATATGAATCACTTCAGCACCGGAACTGGTCTTAGATCTAATGAATCCATTCGCTAATGACTTGATATCCAAATCGTAAGTATTGACGAGACTTATCACTCCAAACGCGGCGTCTGTCCACAAATTGTCAATCATTTTCATTAACATCTTTATTATTAACTAAAACTTCTTTCAATACCTTTTAACTCCTTATTAGTGATAATCTCATGACTACTGGACATTGACTGCGAGTCAAACGTGACATTCAATGCATTTGTGTAATTAGAGTGATCACCGATTTGTCTGATTTGGACATCTCTTAAGCGCTGGTCTTTGGTTCGCAACAAATCCTTCACTTCTTTCCAGTCGATAGCCATTCGTCTGATGAGGAGATATACGTCGAGTGGATGTCCTANTGATGAGGAGATATACGTCGAGTGGATGTCCTAAAAGTGAGCCCTCGGTGTCCTCTTTCAGTGCAATTGAGTTCAAACTCAATGAGTTGTCTGTCAGTCGTCTTAAGCAAGAATTGAGGACCTCTTCGGACACCAAATATTCACTCAACGACTCAATCATTGCTTTCTCTTGCGTTAAGAGATTCTCTAGTTTTGCGAAATCACTGTTAAAACAATTCACTCGTCCAATGAATCTCAATGTATAATACAATACGAAACTTATAATTAAACTCTTCATTTTGAAATCAAAATGTGTTTAATTAAAGCTTTTTAACAAAACTTATAGCAAATTCTGAGTTATATTTGAAATGAATGCAAGAATACTAGAGACTTTTTGAATACAATCTATGAATACACAGAATTTTATTGTTAGTATACAATAAAATATAGCCTATTCGTGCAATTGTTTACACGTCCATTTATTTCTACAATCTATTTATAGATTGACAGTAGAGCGACCAGATCGGAAAACTTGAATTCTTGAAACTGAACTCAATAATACTTGAAAATACTTGAACTTAAAATATTAATTTAAATTTTAATGGTAATTATCTTCCATAGTCACAACCTTACATCCAGCTGGTCATTCCTTACAATATCATTTGCAACATCATATATTACATTTATAGTGAATCATAGTTATTTAAGCCTTAAATTTTAATGAAAATTTCATTTACGGAAAGATTTTAACGTGATTATTAATTAGTTCTCATTTCACTCAACTTAAACACACTAAATTAATATTTATTAAAAAAACGTTTTAATTTATGGTTTCCTTTATCTAGTTTACTTTAGTCTATATTCGGTAATATTTGTTGGTGAGGATATAAATTCACGTTTGGACAGCCTACTTCATACAAAAAACAAAATAGTTGAGCGCATGTCTGCGGTCTAACAATTTGTAAGTATTTGACGGCGAACTTAGGGTCACAGGTGAAGCCAATTATCAGAGAATATCGCGTCCCAGAGGTGACCCTTTCGACGAAGTGCTCGTTCTCTGAGCCGGACGTGAAGGCCGCGACTCTTCCCAATTTAGGCTCAATTGTTTGGTTCGACATCTCGTCGGTGAATATAAAGCGTCCGCCGGAGAAGTCCGCGCCATATGTCGACAAATACAGCAAAGAAGTGAACCGAAGATACTTAACTTCCCGTTTGTCGACATGTCTGCGCCAATACACATCGGGTTTGATTTGGGGCCGCTTTGACGTCATTCTCAAGAAAGAAGAAGTCTTCGTGAAGTAGAGCTGAGCCGAAGGGATGCCGAACTCAATTGCAATCCTTTTGCGGATTTTCTTTTTCACAGTTCTGTAGACTTGTAAGTCTTTTTCGGTGAACAGCTCTTTCAGGTCTTCGTCCATTCGTTGTGTCCTTTCAATGAGTTTATAGATATTCACGAAATTAGTTGCTATCGAAAGCAAACCCGTGTCTACGTTCAGGTATGTCACGCCACCCGAAGAGCCGCCCAATGATAGGCCTCTCTTCGCCACTAACAACAAGTGTTTGGCTTCCGATTCAGTGATCACCGAATCGGACACAAAACGTCCGCATCTTTGAGGAGCACAAGACGGGAACCGAACTCTCTCTTCGTCATAGTCTTGAGAACACATCACTTGTCTTCTTATCGGCAAATCTTTTATGGATTGAGTGGCCGAAGCCATCACTAGTTCTTTGGTGTCATTGCATTGAGTCGTATAGTAAACCATCACAAGAATAGCCATCGAGAGTGCCATTCCACTCATCACTCGCTTCATAATACTCTGGTTTTGTGGTCTTTCGAGCGACACTTCTCGAGACACCACTCGACAAACGTTCTCCTCATTTGTGTCGCCATTCCTATTGACAGCTCTTTTACATCGATTGAGTCCATCCGAAGACATTGTGATTAAATGAATTGATGATCGAATCAAATATAAATGAAAGCACAGAAAACAGATCAGTCCTGAACCATATGTGTCCGATTTACCTTTCACAAATATGGTTACATTTTTTATCATTTATGAGTTAAAAAGTGTATGTAATTAAAAAATATGATTTTTACTAATACTAAATGACAATAGTTTAACCCATTGAAAATACATTAGAACGTAAATTAATATTTATTTTGTGAATTATTTTCAACTCAAATTAAGTAAAAAATTATGCCAACTTTGTTTCAATGTTTAATTACGCTATTATCATGGTAAATTAATAGTATATTTTTAAAAACAGGCAAGTTGGGACTATAAAACCCCTAAGAGATTAAGGATGCTTGGATTATCCGTTCACGATATAATCCATTTCCCGCACGGGTAGGTGGTTAGTTCGAAGGGTTTATATCATGGCAATAGTGTTTAATTCATAAGTAATTTTGAATTTAGCGCCAATCCTGTGGTAAAATTATTTAATAAATTAATAGACTTAAAGGAACCTATTTAGCCATCTATTGGTTCTATGCCTTGTTAATATTAATTAATTTATATTTCATAAAATTAATTAATTAAAATTTTAATTAGTTTGTCACTAATCTGCGATAGACCTAACAGTTGATTATATTATTATTTGATTTTCGGGCAGACATTCCGACTCCACTACTCATACATTCGTCGCTCACTTCATAGACAATCACCGCTAGAGGTAAACATAAGCAAGTGTTCAATATATGGCATTAATTGTGATCACAATATGGGTGTAGAGCTATAAACACATCGCAGAAATCAATGGACGTGTATATTAGTGAACGAATAGGCTATCTTTTATTGCTAAACTTTATTGTCTAACCAACGATAATATTCTGTGTATTCATACACTGTATTCAAAAAGTATATTGTATTCTTGCAGTCATTTCAAATAAATCTGAAAATTTACTGTTAGTCAAAAATATTAATTAGAAAAAATAGTTAAACATATCGAGTGATCAAAATGAAGAGTTTCTTAATTATAAGTTTTGTATTGTATTATACATTGAGATTCAATGGACGAGTGAATGGTTTTAACAGTGATTTCGCAAAACTAGAGAATC